GCTTACCTTTTCCCCCACATTGATCTCATTCCCATCTTTTGATTTCGTAGAAGAAAACTGATCATCAGATTTGGACTGCTGACAGATATTGCTCGTACAACCAGCTGCAGCATCCTTAGACATTTCATTATCATCTAATTCTTCTCCACTGCTTGAGCCTCTGTGGATTTTCAAACCAGGCGCTTCCCTTTCTGATAATCGCAAGGCTTGCAACAACACTATTTCCTCTTCAATATCTCCCTTTCTCAATCTACTATGCTCTGCAGATGCAGGTGGAGAGACAGCAAAAGATCGACAGGGTGAAGGAATCCGTAGAGCTGCAGTGGTCGCCTCAGCAAAACCAACAGAGCATTCTCCAGAACTCTGACTGCTCGGGGACTTTACAGTCTGCGTCTCCAAGGCAACAAGAGCACTCATTAAAGCATTATAAGACTTGCAACCAATTGCAGTAGCAGTTTCAAGATCCTGGAGGCAATAAGCAGAGGAAAAGCAATCAGATATTGAAACTATCTTATCACTCCAAAATTCCAAATGAAAAGGGTGACAAGAAATGATGTACCTGGGGATTAACGATCCATCCATGATACAAGGGAATATTAAGTAGATCAAATATAGCTAGCTCAGGTGTAAACTCAAAATCATTAATCCTGAAAAACCAAGTAAACAAACATTCCTCGATTACGATAATGGAACTTCTATGTCTGCATTTAAAAAGAGGAAAAACAGATTAAACAAAGAATAAAAACCTCTTGAATTTTATATTGACATTGATTCCATCTGCAAGGAGTGGTAAGAGACTAATGGCATCAGAAATATTCTCAGTATATTCATCATCTTCTCTCTGCCATGAGAGAAACAAACAAAGTAAGCTTCTCTCTGCAATAAGATAACTGAGAAAGAAAGAAGACGAAATCAATCAGGTTATTACATCAACGTTAGTGTTGAAATCGATCAGTGTGGTGGCCACAAGAGTCAGCAATATCTCTTGAGAAACTTCACGAAACTGAGGATGCAAATCGTCTCTCAAGATAAGAACATTACCTGTTTGCATAAAAACACACACAAGAATTTTCAGGAAAAATCTACACACAACACAAGTTTCTTCGGAATCTTCCATCAAATTTTAACCTAAAGGATTCAAAGATACTAACACCAACATTCCCAATTTTTCCGTTTTCCCTAATCGATCGTCTAAAGCGAAGTTCACAAACCCTAGCGAGAGTGAAAATTGGGGGAAAGAAAAAAAAAAAAGCGTACAAATAGCGATCAAAGGACAAGGTCCGTTCTGATTCTGGAGAATGATTCGCTTCTTTCTTCCAAGAAACTTAATCTCCTTCGTCTTGTAAATGACTTCGTTCTTCGATTCCACGACGATCTCGTCGCCGGGAGAATCCGAAGTCGACGACATTGACGTTCCGCGAAGATCTTCTCGAATCGGAAAATGTGATAATCGCTTAATCTCCTCTCGAAAGTGAAGCCAAGTACAAAAATCGAAGAAGGAAGTTTTTTTCTGAATTTCAAGAGAAAAGCAAGAAAGTGAGATTTATATATAGACGATGATGGGAGGAGAAGAAGAGGAAAAATACTTGATTTTGAATTGGGTTGACTACTAAACCAACCAAACCGAAATTTGTAGTGTATGTTTTACTTAACCGAAATTTGTAGTTGTAAACCGGTAAAAGCTTAAAAGCCTATTTTGGGCCCGTATTATATTGATGACCAATCAAGCCTATTATAAATCAAATTGAAATGGCTGCAAAAAGGAAAAAAAAAATCAAATTGAAATGTTTTACAAGATTGTTAATATGGAGAGTTAATAAATATAATAATGAACCACAAACCATTATTCTTAATCCTAATTTTTGTTTTAAATCTATTTTTTGTCAAAATTAAAAAAAAAAATTTCTAAATTAATTACTTCTTCATCCGCTAGTTTATTACTCCCTCTGTTTGAAAATATAAGTTGTTTTAGATAAAAACGCAGATATTAAGAAACTATTTTCTACTAAAAGTATCATTTAATATATTTAATAAAAATAATTTGACTAATCACACAAAAACTGCAAAATACTAGTGGTCACACAATATTCAATAAAGTTAAAAATTACCTAGAATTGTCAAAACAACTTATATTTTGGAAAAAAAACCTCCAAAACAACTTATATTTTGAAACGGAGAGAGTATAATTTAAATAATAAAAAGTTAGTGAATGGTAAATTTGATTAATTTTACATTTGCTTAGTTCTTGATTTGTTAACAACTACTAAAAAACTAAGAAAATCATATTTTATATCTAATTTATAGAAAAAACCTAATTTACATGTGTTTTGTAAATGATCTCGTGATTTTTGCATAATGCTCATTTGCTATCAAACGAATACTGGAGGGTGTTAAAGGACTTTAAAGTTTGATATGGAATGGTTTTAAACTTTTAAGTATTAAAAGAAATCTAGTTTCTTCGATGCATGATTAACATAAGAAAAATTCAATTTCAAAAGAAAAGCTACAATTTTCTTTTTCTTTTTAGAGAAATTAGCCTCTATATTAGTTATTGT